GTCTAAACTATCAGGTTAGACGTCGAAAATATTGATAAAGCCGTTTAATAAATAGATATATTTTTTGCCTACATTAGCAGCTATTTTTCTCCGTACGAAAACGGGTCTACGATGCTTGGCACAAAACTTTGTGTTTGGGCTGATGTGGCGCGGACGCTGTACACTATGGACGAAAAATATTTGCAGATTCGTGGTCCATGGACATTTCTGAACTACGTGACACAGTTTAACTCAATTTGGGAAAGGTCGCCAAATCCACCAATGTCGCGCTAATTCCGGTCGCGGTCCTATCGTGCAATGGGATAAAATTTAAAACCACCTCTTTTGGACGAAAGTTATTCTGAACACTATAAAACACAGTACGTGACTTTGACACACTGAACATGAAAATAGCACCCGTGACCCTTGTTTATGCCCCTGAGGTCATCTCAGTTCACGAATGGTATCTAATAGTTTTTTGCGAATAACTTTTGATAGAGGCATGCTAGAGCGATGAAAACGCCTTAGTTGTGTTTGGCTCGACGATGCAGATCGACTGATATGCAACATGACAATTTCCGGTCAGATCATGACCTTGACCTGAGGTCGAATTTTCAAGTTGACCTTCAAGGTCAAATTGCAGTTAATTTGATGTGTCTTGGCGAGAGGAACACGATGTCGGTATAAGAAAGCTCGTGCAAGGCATGAGTCAAAAGTTATTGCAGAAAAACTGTTCCCGAAAAAATCGTCTATTTTGGTAGTTTTTGCCCTTTGCAGGCAAAACCGTCGACGTTAGGTCAAATCTAAGAGAAATAACCAGAAAGCATGCTAATATGGCTATCAAATGCGCTTTTCCGCGGTGCTGTAGCTCTAATTGGTTCCCGAGTTATGAGTCGGCATCCTGTAAACTGTCGATATTCGACCTGAAAATCGGCGAAATTTGGCCTGCACCATGATCTGACCTTTGACCTGACCAAAAAAGTGGCCGAAGTAATTTCGTCATTATTTTTGACGCTCTTTCGAACGAAGATGGATTATGGGGTGCAAAAAGATATGTTTGCCAATGCACGCCTATGTTTTTGGATGGAAATTGAGAGTGCAGCTGCACACCGTGCACTCCCTCTTCCGCCGCCCCTGATTTCTTGCCACAAACGTCTTCAGCGGCTCCCGAATGAAAGAATGTACGTTAATATTGATATATTCTCATTTTGTGGAGGTTGGGCAAAGCCTGGCCACTACTGGGGCATTCCTCGACTCTACTGGGGCATTTGCCCCAGTAGTTAACATGTTAGCCGAGGCCCTGCAAGGAACGTTGCAGCACTTTACTCATCAATATTTTGATCATTTTAACATTGAAATGTTTCAACATTAAGCAAAAAAATATAGGAAATTCAAAGGTTAAAGCTGCTCATTTACGATAGATATTTGGTGCTTGTCAGTGGTAAGTACTAAGTAGAGTACTTATTCGGTTAACAACAGATGTTTGGTCGAAAGGCGGACACAAAACTAAAGCGACAGCAAAGATGAGCTAACCGTGACAAAAGGGCACCTAACGGTACCGAGTGTAGGGCGGTCTATCACAAGTTTGCATCAGCGTTGAATGTTTCAGGCCAGCGCCGAGCCAAATTTCAGGCTGATGACCTCGTTCAGATACTGGTTGCGAGACTTATGCACTATGCAGGCTCAGAAAGGGCCGTCGGACGTTGAATAGATAGTGTGCCAAATTCGGTGCGGCGCGCGACAGATAAGAAGCATAGTAGACGTCATGTGCTAACTTTGGACATATTAATCGGTGAACAACAATAGCATTGACGAATAAGTGATTTTTATTTTTGAAAGTCGTAACGAAGTTATAGGTGAGGGTTAGGTATTTTGAACAAGTTATACCCTAAGAACACCTGACCGCACCCCTTTAGAGCTCACTCCGTCATATGACTTTCAGAGAGATCGAATATGAAGCATGGCATGCGTGAATGAGCATTTATTTTTTAGGCCAATATTTAAAGAAGCAGTTTTCTTGCTCTGGAGGCGCCGGCAAGTCATCATATCACTTATGATAATGTCCCTGCACTCACAGCATGACTATACTACCTACTCTGTCTCAAGAATCCCCCCTGGAAACTGAAATTCATGGCATGCAGTTCCACTTGGTGCATGAAACATCAGCCCCCGGACGTTGGGTTGTAAGTCTCGCCAATAATGCTGAATTGCCGAGTACCGGACCCGGTTCTGACGACCCAGCCTACCCTATCTGCCCCGGGTCATCGGCCCGCCGACGGACGGGGCTAAAAATCACCCACTGGCCGCAGTTTCTCGGGCACGAAACGACACGTTGACTTATTCAACGACGGCTGATTTCATCTGGTCAGACGTCAGAGGACACAGGCCTGGTTAATGTACTGAGAAACATCGATGCAAATGCACCAGTGGGCCGGCTGGAGGCTTATTTAGAGCTTTTTGTGTGTCAGCTAGGTCGATACGGGTTTCAACCAAGTCGGAGGTGTGCATCGAAAGCAGCCAGGGTGGAGCACGGCCGCCCTACATAACACCGATGTCCTATTTCGCAAATGCAAATGCAACAACGCCGCTGAAAGTTATATATGTAAGAATGCACGTAACCGCAAATGAGCGCTAGTAACGCACAGTTTCTCCACCCGCCACCGTCCTATTCCTGCTAAAAGTGCCCTCCCTAAGCAATCTCCACAGGCTGACTTATTTGGAAGACAAATCTGACGGTTAGAAGTCCTAGTTATATAATTGATTGACAGAATTGACAGACCTGTCTTGGAAGCTTCTGCCAGTGATCGCTGGTAATGCATCATTCGTGGTCGTTTTTGCTCAGTACAACAACGGGACCAGAGGCAGGATCGGCTTGATCCGAGCTGGGCTAGAAGCATGGCGTGAGATGGTGGACTGCAGAATTATTGGACGGGTAAACGGGTATGGGAACCATCAGCTACGTGCTTAAAACGTTTTTGTGGCAATACAGCCAGGTCACGAGTCGGTCAATATTGCAGATAAAGTTTCCGCAAAAACATATGGAGCTTTTGCTCTCTGAAGGCTAAACCCCTTAGGTCCAAGTCTGAGGATATTATTCAGAAATGGCATTAAAAACTATCGAAAGCGTTTCCCCAGCGCTGTGGCTTTACCCGTCTCCGAGTCTTTGCCCGATTTACCCAAAATTATTGAAATAGGCCAAATTTGAACTTGGATGAGTTCTGGTGACATGACCTCTGACCCGACGCAAGAAAATGACCTGAATACCCTAATTTCGTTTTTTACGCTGTTCGAAAGACGCTTTACAAGCATCGTTACATGACCCAGGAGTCGAGCTCAACGAGTGCATTGTACGGAGTGGCGTGCTCGAGCCGCCCGTATGCACGACGTAGAAACTAGAAATCCAGGTGCTCCGGCGGTGCGTGGTTCAAGAACATTCTTGATGAACATTACGGACCTTCATCGCTCTAGCATGCCTCTTACATGAGTCGTCGTCGAGAAACTGCTGATCTAATCCTCGCCGGCCGAGGGGGGGGGGGCGGGTGCCGCCCCACGATAGCTCCGAACACGCTGGCGATAGAGAGCTGAAACTTGGCATACCTGACCTTTGATTCAGGCCACATCTTTTGACACCAACCGCATTTTTGGGTCAGGTCAGGTCACTGACCTATGACGTCATAAGTGAACCTCTGCACGGTCTTCAGATGTCGCAACTTCGCAACGCCCTCACTGCCAGAGGAGATGTCACAGGGAAATGAAACTTGCAGGATCTAGTATCCATTATGATTCTCACAACTTGTATATCTCGGATTTTTCCTAAAGGTCATATGAGGTCAGGTCATTTTCGTGACCTCACCATTATAAGTCAATGGGGAAAAATTCAAACTGCTATTCTGGCGCCGGGAACGATCTCCAACTATCTCAAGCACACAGAATCGTGATTTGATGCACTCCTTGCAAGGTAAGATGCGTCACTTTTGCAATGTTGACCTTGCGTGACGTCATTTATGACGTCATCAAGGTCATATTAGTTTTTCGTCAATAACTCCGGAACAAATTGAGCTAGCGAGTCGGGAAAGCCGCCAATGGGCTCAGGAAGACCTGCCGAATCGAATGATATGCGACATGACCTCTTTCGACCAACTTCGTGACCTAGGGGTGCTGACCTGACCTTGACCTGAGGTCAACACCCCAAGTTGACCTGACCCGGACAAAAAGTATATCATTCGACGCGCCTGAGCGAGGCGAACACGATGCTGCCAAAATCGCGGCTCTGCGGCCGTTTTTTGCGAAGTTATTCGCCAAAAACTGAACCGTACCTTGGGGCACTTGACCTGACCTCAGAGGTCACCGGTTGACCTAGGACCTTAAAATCGGGTACCAATCTCTGCGTCTCGTAACGGCGCACACGCTCGTTTTTTCCGCGACGCGCTAGCTCCACCAGGGGCGAAACGGCGAGGGGGCCGCCACATACGCGCCGCCCTCCCTCGGCCGGCGCGTATGTAGAAAACCAATAGGTCCGGCGAGGGCTAATTTGATGACTAGTAGCCGTTTTCACGACGGCCACCTGGTACACATTTGGTGCAGATCTGGTCAAATTAAGTTCATTTTGTTCAATGAAGAGCTGTCAGTATGGGTTGCACAGATGCTTATAGACCTTATTTTTTTAAATTATCATACATTATTTTCGACTAACCACAACTAAATTGATATGAATATATTTGTTGTAAGATTTGGTGCAAATTCGCTCAATTAGGTGCATTCGCCAGATAGCCCGTCGTGAAAACGGCTAACATGACGCCAAATGCCGGGTGGGGTCACGGGTGCAACTATCCGATTCCGATTCCGATTCCCCCGATGAGCGTATATAAATATGACCTGCAGCGTCTTTAAACTAAGCGATCTTTGCCTCTGATTTCGACCACAGCTCGGCTTGGACCAAGGCTTGGAGGTCCGCGAGATCAGCTGAGCACCTGAAACTTCATCTGATACCAGCAAGGAGGTAATCAGGGATACTGCAGATATTTCTCCATAAAATATATATTTCATCAACAGCATAACATGTCAGACAGACCACCGCTGCCCACCCAAATATCATCTTCGATGTCCGATGGCACATATAACACAGACGTTTGTGACCTGGTGACTCGCGCGGATATGCTCTCGCCAGTCACTGTTCGGCGCTCAGAGTGTTGGACAGAGGCAACCAACGAGTAACATTGAACACACCTATTGCTGTTTCTATACTGTGTCAATCAGCCATAGGCGGAAATAACAACGAAATAAACGAGGAATGTCACCATCTAGCTCCGTGAGAGTTGGTGGGTATACCTGGCACGTAGAGAGGTCAAAAGGGAATGTCGCAAAACAGGCATGATACAGGGTACTACTCCGGAACGGAATGACAAGACGCCAAAACACCAGTATAAACAAATGACAGCAACTACCGGGCAAACATGCACGAAGCGCATCCACTGATATCATAAACCTTATCCACTATCCCGATCAGTCAGCAGGGCACGAACACTATCATAGTCGAACCATCCTTTTTGGTTATGGCGGGCAGTCTGAAACATTCAAGTGCTTCTGCCCACATATAAAAATTACTGACATATTACGCGGAACTGTTTGGTGCTAGACACAACATTCACTGATATAAATCACAGCTGCCTACGGCGTTATAAGAACGCAGATTAGTCGACTAAATACAGTCACGTCAACATTCATCAAAGCTCAACAAGCAGGGTAGACCTGCGACAATCACTGATATGTCTCTCACCCCTGGGTGAAAATATTCATCATTGGTCCCCAGCTCTCATCACATTACGCCCCATAAAGATAAGTAGGTAAATAAGCCCGTATTAACGTGTGCCCGAAACCCGTCCAGACAATAAAACGTCACATTCCAGGGACACCGGCCCTGGAGCTAACGCATCACATTGAGCACTGCGGGCATTCCGTGTCTCTGCCTCCAGCGAACAGAGCATTCACTGACTGCTCTGACATGGGCAATTACTGACACGGGCTCGGGTATCACATTGGCACTTGGTCCCGGAGTAAGAAGTCATGACGATCATTTGTACGCGCAGCGTATGCGCCGTTTGTACGGTTAACAGCAGCCACTTACTGATATTTCAATGTACCCATTACATCATCCGATCGATCAAATCTATCACCGAGGAACTAACGGTCGCAGTTCGCCGTTGGTCCATGACAGTACCCCCGGGAAGTTGGAATCTTCTGCATATAACCGCCCCTCGACAGATCACCGAGCGAGGCGCGTCCCGGACCGGACCGAACTGGAGCTGGGAGAGGGCGGGCGGAACGGTCGGCCAACAACCGCACTCGCCGCCTGGCAGCAGCACCCGCGAGCAGTGGACTCCACGCAGAGCCAGCTCTGGGCATAATGTCCAGTGCCCTATCCAGTCCAGCCCCATGTTCTGTCCCATCCTCTACTCACTGCTGTCCTGTCTCACTGAAGTTCCCTTCTGTCCCCCCTCTTCTCGGCCCGCTCGGCGTCGCTCCGCCGGGCGTCTAGTCATCCTCGTCGCCCGACTGCATGCAGAAGGCGCCCGGGTAATACCTCGGGCGGCAGGCGGCCGGCGGCTCCGCCACGCCACCAGAGTCGGCCGTGTACCCGTACCGGTTGTGCTCTGAAAACACACACACACACACAGATGTCAGTCGAAACGACAAACTGCCGAGTTGGGAGGAGCTGCACAGCATTTTACATTATTACCTCTATTTAATCGGCCAACGAAGTTCTATGAACAGAACAAGAAACTTCCATAAGCGTGCCTTGTAATCTCCATTCGGGGTGCACCGAACCCAAAAGTCCTTGGAGTTCAAAGAAGCCACGAGGTTACAACACGGTTACGTCAATGAAAGTAGCGGTTAGTGGCCATATGGGTTTATCCAAACGCCCATCAGGCATTTCTCCGCTCGCGTTCCATCTGTTTTACCAGACTGTCGGCCGTCTCTGGTAAAACGTTTTCGGATCAATTACACCTCTGGGTCCCAGCGCGATACGGAACCCTCTCCAGCGTCGGACCGCCGGCAGACACAAATACAATACATAATACATCGCGCGGCGAGCCCTGTCTGATCGGAGCGTTCGTCCGCCCGTCCGGCTCCTGATGGCCCGAGGAGGCCGGCGCGACGGGAAGTGGGCCGGCCACGGCGCTCTGCCGCTCAGCGACCCGGCCGCGCCCCACGTGTCACCGGCATAGGGGGCCACGGCGGACCGCGGCCCGGTCACGTGCCCCTCTGCCGCGCGCCGATTCGCCCGGCAACAGGCGCACGCCGGCCGCGGCAGGCGGGACTGACACATTGGCCCGTCACCGGAGCTCCGCAGAGCGCTCAATCAGCCGGCTGCACCTTTGGGGGCCGGCCGGCAGCGTTACAGGGCCGGCCAGCAGCGTCACAGGGCCGGTCGGCAGCGCCACAGGGCCGGCCGGCAGCGCCACAGGGCCGGCCGGCAGCGTCACAGGGCCGGCCGGCAGCGCCACAGGGCCGCCGGTGCCTGGATCGGCGCGTTACCCTTCCCGGACGCCCTGATACCGTCAGCCGACGGCCGGCCGTCACCGCGTGGGTACGACACCGGGTCATCGTCTCCATAATCCATACTCGCCGCCGTACAGTGCACGTCGGCATACCGCCCGCCCGATGATATAGTACGGCCCGCGATCAGCGGTTAAATTCACATGAGACGCCAGCAACGGTTGCCACTGACGTGAAACCGGCCGGACAGCAATGTAAATCGCTGGAGCTGGAATGGGGCCGATATTATTGTTCCTTGTACATATACACATGCGCAAGAAAAGAGATCTTCAAAAACGAGTGAGAAAAGAGCACAATATTTCGCATAGTAACCAAAACCCAGTTCGTCGCTAGGCGGTATCAGCGAACCTATTTTCACCGCACTTTTCTTTTTCTCACACTGGTTAGAATGACTTGACATTTTTTTTTGTGTGTGTGAATTCAAACTACATAGTCGTATCTGGTCGTATCAATCATTTACCACCTAAGCCCGTATCCCGTCTCCCATCTCTACAGGTTTCCTAGCTAAGAGTTCCCGGACGCTCACACCAAAGGAGTCACGAGGTACGCGCGTGTCGGGCGGAGCCTGGCGACAAGATATCGCGGTGAGGACCAACCACACGCCCAGCGCCGGGCCGCAGATTTACAAAACACAATCCAATTACGGAAAGTGTAAAAAACTGATCGATATATTTTTTCTTAATGTGCTGTGGGTATGAAAGCTGTCGAGCAGCGTCCGCTCCGGATTATTTCCGCGTTGGCGTCACATGGTATTTCTGACCTACATCGGCAGAGCCCGCTCTACTTTTGATCAACAAATGGCAGCAAGACCTGACAATTATTTCAAAACACAACTAGTGTGCTTAGCGTGGGCTGAGAGCAAAAGCAATGTTTCGTGTTCACCAAACTAAAAAAAAAACAGCCCCAAGCTGCAGTGATTTAGCTGAGCGGATACTATGTGTGACAGAGTACAGCCGGCATCCGCCGCCCGTCTCCGGCTACAGGGGGTAAGGGGTCAGGCCACACTCACCAGCGAAGTAGTGTTCGCTGTCGAGCAGCTGCCGCGCCAGCTCCTCGCCGCCGTAGCCCGGCGCCGAGCCGCCCAGCTGCGCCGGCAGCGAGTCGCGCGGAAAGTGCGCGTGCAGCGACTTCAGGTTACTGCCGTGAAAGTACAGCTGCCGACGCAGACACCGCGCAGTGTCAGCGGTGACCCGTGGTTTACACGGTGGGACACAGAGTTACCACGAACAGCAGAGACACAGCGCCAACGGCTCGGGGAGACAAGAAAACATTATTTTAGAAATAGTCATAAGTCAACAGCTGATTGAAAAGCAAATCAACAATCGATTGGAAGAAAAAAAAAGGTATGGTATCATCGCGCTCGTGCAGCGGTGCGCCATATCCGTTTTGAGCCAGTTACATCCATTAAAATAATCACCAGCGAGCGAACAAGAAACTGCACTGTGATCAAGCGGAAAATGTCCTCCTAATGCAGTTAGAGCTTTAAACATACGCCCTGCGGTACCACTGAATGCAAGAGCGGGACGCACCAGCGCGGTCTTGCATCCCAATCAAAGGGAACACGCGTTTCGCAACAGTCGGCACAGTGAAGGGTGAATAAACCAGCGGGCAAGCAGTTCCGAGAGCTGCCGTCACTCTTCAGAGCACCGACCTGCCCGATCGTATCGGAAAACGGACGGGCCGCATTCAATGTGGGCTAGCGGTACGTCCGTATCTTATCATCTAACCAATATGCATCCCTTCCACGAAAGCATTAATGCTGTTGCCAACGCCAAATCACACAGAGCAAAAGGGCTTTGGTAATAAACACGTTAATGGTGTCACATTACATTATAATCCCAGGGTTAAAACGACAGAAGAGCATGAGCAACTGCCAAAACAAATAAGCCTCGCGATAAAAATACGAGATGAAAGTACAGATGTCATGCAGACAAAAAATGAATAAAAAGAGGAAGAGTTGTAGAAGTCGATTCACAACTTGCCATGTCCCGATACAATCTGACCAAAGGTTGGTGTGACGAGGACAACATTGAAGGTACTGAGGTGGTAATACAGCCGTACCATCTTATCCAATGAACCATGACAGGGTACGCGGCGCCGTAAACACTTACCCGGTCGGCTAGCTTTTTGCTCAGGAAGGGCTTCACAGCTGCGAAGGCCCAGTAGAACACCCTCGGCTCAAATACAAAGTGAAAGCCCTTGAACCGAAGCGGAAAGCTTCCCTGCAAAAGGAGGAACCGCCGTCAAAATACAGAAAAAGATAGCTGACACTACGTAGTAATCGTACCAACATGCCATAACACCATCATAAGGGTCAAAGTCTGATGTGTAATGTTCCCCAAAGGACCACTTATCTATCGAAATCTCTGTAAAAAGCTAGACTTCCTGAATGGCTAAGTGAAATGTAGGAGACAGGAGTGGTTTCCCGAAGGAAATGAGGCGCATAACTACATTACCAGCAAAGAAGACTATATGGATTTTGGAATACTTTGAGTCATCATTTATCAAAACAGCTGGCTGCTATGTCACAAAATACGTAACATCGGCAGAGGGAAGAGCTGCCACAATAGACGTGACTGTGAGGAATCTTAATTCCAAGCCAGCCAATTAGCAGTTACAATTTTGACTAGCAAACTTTCACACTTTTTTTTTGGGTGGGGGAATGGTTCCTATTCCGAATATTTAGTAGCGAGTCCGTCAACGTTGACATTGGGGTAGAGCCGAGTTCTTTCATCTCAGTCACATTCCGGGCTCTGTCGCCACTGTATTCATTCACTCCTTCATGCATGTGTGTCCGGTGAGCCACGGACCGCCTCTGCCCCTAATACAAGGCCACCATCCTCAGCAGCCGGCTCGGCTCGGCAGTCACACGATACCGGGGGTGCTGGGTTTGACTGCCGAGGGTTCTGGGACAGGCTACCGAGGGTGCTGGGACATTGGTCAGGCTGCTGTGGGTGCCGGGTTAGGCTGCCGAGGGTGCTGGGACAGGCTGCTCTGGGTGCCGGGACAGGCTGCCGGGGGTGCTGGGACATTGGTCAGACTGCCGGGGGTACTGGGGCAGGCTGCTGTGGGTGCTGGGACAGACTGCCGAGGGTGCTGGGACAGACTGCCGGGGGCGCTTGGACACTGGACAGACTACCGAGTACCGAGGGTGCTGGGACAATGGACCGGCTGCCGCCACCACCAGCCCGTCCAGACGTGTGAGGAATGTAACGGACTATATCAGCTATTTTGGTACCTTTCATATTTCCACGGGCCCGTCATATTTCTGGGATGCCAGCTGAATGCCGATTCCATCGGCTTTCCATTAAACAAGCAAACCGTGAGAATAACAGAGAGCACCAATCGTGGGAGTTTGAAAATGGTCCTGTCGCCGGATAGCTCAGCGACGATATCAGTGTTACTCGATGAAATCTCACGCCGGTAAACGGAAACGATGGTTGCTGTGTTGATTAAGATCAGATTTCGTCCTTTCACGAACAATGTAGAAAGTCCTCTGTTTGCATAAAAAACGGCCGGAGCACCACCAACATCCCAGTAAATCTCGGGGCGGCGCCCGGTGGGCACACACCAATGCATCACCGCCGCCCACCGGCGACCCCGTTATCACGCCGCGGCACGATGCAGCAAACAGCAGCGGCCGCCGGCCAGCAGATCCATCCCCGCGGCGGAGAGGTGCCGCACTACACACGTCCCCGGAGAGAAAACGGCCGCCGCCCCGGGTGGTTTATCACCCGCGCGTGCGCTGCCTTACGCTGGTAGTGAATGGGCAAGATGTGGCCGCTTAGTTACAGAAGATGTGTAGCTGAAAATGGTAGGGTAAACACATTCCACACAGGAAAGTGTTTAAATGTGTCCAGTTAACGATTTATGTGACTCGGACGTTTAGCGGCTCTATCTTCATCCGGGATCAAATTGAGAAACCTTACGACCGATCGCCATGTCGGAGTTCATAGCATGCGCACGCAACTGAGGCAGTGGGCACAGCGATACACATCTTATCGTGCTCGGCTGGACCTGCCAGGGTGTGCCTTCGCACGCATGCGAGGGCACTGTTGTCTGTCATTATTCGTGTGACCGAGTTTCCCTCGATACCCTTCGTACTGGATATCATCTCGAGACATCGGACGCACTCTCCGGACCAGAGGTAACAGCGTCTGCAACTAGGTGGCGCCGTCCAAATACTACCTTCATTAGTAACAACTCTAGGGGCTTCTAGGCACCGAACTTCTACATCCATTAACTGTGAACTAAGATCATTGAACCGTAGCACAATAAATAACAAAAACATTATTTACAACACTATAATTGAGCCATGAATGACTAACAACCAACACAAGCGTACATTTACAATCCAACAGCTAATATCCACGTGCTGCGTTCTTTTTTTTTTTTTTTTAAACAATTCGGAACCTATCTTCTGTCTCGCCAACTATGCAATTTTGCACTCGTCTTGTTCCACCCTTCCTCCTTAACTCGTCGAAATGAAATCAGGCGGCGTTGTCACGCGGTACGGACTACTTCACGGCTCTCCGTCAGTTGCTCGGCGCTTCCAGACGTGTGTCGGTGCATCCGTACCGGGCCGGGCAACCACACGGATACAACCATTACGCCGCGGGCGGGCGGCCCTCTACGGACAAAACGACGGCACGCACCCCGCGCGTGACGTCCGAGCAAAATATACGCGTCATCCTCCGCTAACACCAGCAATGAGTGAAAAGGAATCCACAGACTGACATCCAAATACGGCGGGCTGACGTCCGGCTATGGCCACCTCCACATGGAGGTGAATTACCGACAGACAGGCGCGCTGCCGGGAGGATGGGAGCTCCCACAATCGCTCCTAGTTTTCACCAAATCCATATGTCGCCGGGATGAGATGATAGCCACGGGTCACTCCGCGGGCGACAGATCGACTGACGGTTGGTAGACAGGTTGGTGAAATGACACAAACACAAGGCGGCTCATACGGCCAACGTCCTTATGAAGGTTGGACGGGTAGATGTAACATGAGTCCGAGTCCTGCTGAGAAAATAATAATAAATGTAATAGGATGTCATTCTTGAATCTACATCAACACCATCAAAAAGAAGGCCAGCTTATACAAGATCACCGACTGACCGAAGCTGCTTTTCACTAATTCGCAAACAGTCCCTCCGATATAGGTTGTTGCCATATCCTTCCCAGCATTTTAGCTTTAGCCGGGATGACGGGAGCCGCCCTCTCCCCAGGTCACAGCCGCCCTCTCAGCTCCCCTAGTCCCAGGGCGTGGTGACCCGACACAGCCGCCCTCTCCCCGGTCTCAGGGCGTGGTGACCTGACACAGCCGCCCCCTCCCCGGTCCCAGGGCGTGGTGGTCCGACACAGCCGCCCTCTCCCCGCTCCCAGGGCGTGGTGCCCGGGCTCTCGACGGCGCGGCATCACCCACGCATTCCGCGCCGACCACTCGGCCGCGATCGTAATCGAGCCGTGTGTTTATTGGAGCCGTCGCCGTCCGCGGCAGCGAGAGGCGGCTAAAAACGCCGCCGGCCGGCGCACTGGCGCACCGGCCGGAGACCGCTGAGATGCGCCGCGCCGGCCGACAGGCTCCTCGGAAACGGACCGCGGCCGGACCGACTCAGATACCGAGATTAAATGCTAATGACACGCCGGTGAAACGGCCATCCGGCCACGCACGGCTCGCTGCTGCCGCCGGCTCTCAGCACCGACACTGAGAGCGGCAGTTGTCACCCGGGGACGGACTGCCGGCTTACGCATTGACGGCTTGTGGGACAGGGGCACGAAATTGCGGGCGGCGGTAATAACAATAGCGTGCACCTTCCTACTGCGGGGATGTGGGAGCGAGGGAGTGGGGAAAGAGACGGAGAGAGAGAGAGAGAGAGAGAGAGAGAGAGAGAGAGAGAGAGAGAGAGAGAGAGAGAGAGAGAGAGAGAGAGAGAGAGAGACAGAGACAGAGAGAGAGAGAGAGACAGAGAGAGAGAGAGAGAGAGAGAGAGAGAGAGAGAGAGAGAGAGAGAGAGAGAGAGAGAGAGAGAGAGAGAGAGAGAGAGACAGAGACAGAGACAGAGACAGAGACAGAGACAGAGACAGAGACAGAGACAGAGACAGAGACAGAGAGAGAGAGAGAGAGAGAGAGAGAGAGAGAGAGAGAGAGAGAGAGAGAGAGAGAGAGAGAGAGAGAGAGAGAGAGAGAGAGAGAGAGAGAAATAGTTAATATTGCAAGGCATACTATATGTTATGTGAGGGTGGGTAAAAAGGTTCATTTATCAAAGACTCGGTTCTTTCTCCAGAAGTAATAGATGACTTTATGTGAATTGTGATACCTACGAAGCAAAATGATCTAGGGATTTCGAAGTCGACCACTTTTTGTCACATCCAAAAAAAAAAAAATATAACCAAGCCGATACATGTGGACGAAAATACATGTGGCAAAAAATCGAATACGCCTGTCGCTAGATCCGTGTTAGAAATAACTGTTGTTTCAGTATCATTTAATGGCCACCCAATTACTCCGCCTCGGCAGCCGAATATTGAACGTATCGGGATCACAGCATATCGCGGGGTAAGCCAGACCCTCATCTCCGTGTCCAAGTTAACGGGCACTTAACACACTTAATTTCTCATGTCACGGGAGTCATCTGGACGGGACCGCCCTCAGCGCTCTGACGTCACGGCTGGCGTCACAGGCTCATCAGATGTGTCGATAACCGATCCGAGGCTGGGTCGGGAGGAGCTCAAACGAAACGTCGGCCCGCTCGTATTACTGGGCTTTTACGCCGCAACACCGGTAGTAAGAAAGCATGATGTACCCAATGGCAGTTGGAAAAAAGCGTGTTTTAGTCACCTAACTGAGGCATAATTGCTTGAGGATGAAGAAGTTCAGCAATAGCTGTGAATCTAAAAAGGTATAAGAAAAAAGATACAAATGACGACGAGTTCACTCACACCAAAAAATACACGACAAAAAAAATGTGTAAAAGGACTGTCATTCGTAACAAATGTCAGCATCTTTAAAATGTTGGAGACCGCTTGTTGAAATTCGGTCATGAGTGGTTTTAAGTAATATTTGTATCTTGCTGTGATCAGTGATTCGCCCGGCCGCCGGCTGAGCTTCCCGGCCGACGCGCGGCCGCTGTATTGCGGCACAGCATCTCTCGCTGGGGCGGGGCTGTGCGGCGCGGACTCGTGCAGTGATTGGTCGGCTGCTGACCACGTGATTGTG